GGACTCGATGATCTTAGAGGTCTTTTCCAACCTTAATCATTCTATGATTCTATGATATAATAAAACAAAGATAACTCACAAACAGGATTCAGGCTTTCTCCTGAAATAAATGGGGAGAGAGGGATTGGGTTCGTAAAGCTGCCTCCTGAACAGTTTCCAACTCTCTTCTTTTCGACTCACACCTTAGCAAAGAAAGTGTCTTTTGTCCCTTTAAAATTTAGCTAAAATAAAACTGTTACCTCAGACTCTTTAAGAGTTATATTCATAAATACCTGTGGGGTAAAGTAACTCAGTGTAAGACTGAGACAAAGAAAAAATGTCACAGAAGAAAAACTAACACATGATAACTGTTACTTATTTTACAGGCAGAAAAACATGAAACAAAGCTACAATAGATGCAAACCTAAAGAAACAGATGACTGTGAGGAAAATACATGAGAGATGAAGAGGTAGGTTCATGCAAGCTGCATGTTCCTAAATGAAAAATGTTAGGTTTATTAAGAACATCAGAAAGCTGCCACTACTAAGAGCTGTCCATGCTTCCTAAAGCAAGGGGAAATGTCACTTACAGTGAAATAAAAACAAACAAATCAATAAGATCAGGTTCTGAAAAGACAATTTGTATTTCAACGACAAGGTGGAACAGGAAAGGGAAGAGAATAAAGAAAGAATCCCTGCCACCCTCACACAACTTTGATTTCTGTAATCACAAGTGATAACTTATTACTAGTCCCTATTATTAGTAGAGAAACAGACCCAGAAGGATAAAGGACCAGAATATATCCATAAAGCAAAATAAAACTAAATATATATCTATCTTAGAGGAACCAGAAACTGCATTCCTAAATCTCCTGTTTAGAATAAAATATGCAGTCCTACTACATAAACCAGTGTCCAACAGCGTGTCTACCATGACATCTTAGAATACAAAATCTCTGCCAAAAGCTGGAGCAGAAACAGTCTCCTTTTCGCATCTCTATGATAGGTCTGTTTTACTGAGGGCCTTTTTCTACAGCTAGCTGGTTCAAATATGTATGAACTAACTTACAAAGCAAACTAATTCACTGATTCCTAGAGGCCTTTATCCCTGGTAGGAAATATTTGGCAGAAAGATCCAATTCTTTGTAAGTTCTTGTGCTCTAAGTGATGGACTCTACTTAATAAATAATGGTACATTTAATCAGTACAACAGTACATCTTGTTGAGTAACTGCAAGTTGTTACAGACTCTGGATTCTCAGTAGGAATTAATCTTTTTTCTGTATGGTGTATTTAAATAACCAAAATCTGGAGTGTTTCAGACTGTGGAGATGAACTGAAACTGCAGTCAATTTACCCTTAAAGGTCCAAGCTAGAAACTGCAGCAGTTCAGAACTGATTCATCACTTGATTACTTTGAAGCTCTTGCCCAGGCATCAGGAAGCTCTCCTAACTTAAAGAGAACCACCATACCAAGCAGGGACCTAAGCTGTTTTCATGTATTTTGATTTGCTCTTAGGGTCTCTAGCTTAAGCTGCATAGCGTTGAAGTTTTCCCATCTGAATATATTCCCCATTTTGGAAAACTTATCCAATACCTGCTACTGTTGATCTTATACTTAGATGTGGTCCATCCCTCCTTTGTTACCAAAAGCTAGACATAGTGAATACATCCCGAACTGACTTAAGACACAGACTCACTGAGGCTAACTGGGCCAACGAGAACGATGAGGGGTTGCACTGTAGGAGGGCTGATGTTGATTGATAGAAACAAGAGCAGGCTCTTTGGCAGCATGACCTGGTACACAGGAGTGCTAGGCACAGCCACGGGGATCCGTCAAAAAGGTAGGTTTGGCAGCCCTAAGCAGGATGTTGGCAGAAAGGCAGCCTGTTCCAGGGAAGCAGACTAAACAGAAGGAAAGAAGATGAAAAGAGGGCAGAAGTGCAGTCAGGTCTGGGTGTTGGCCAACACTGAGAAAGCTTCCATCTGAGCTCGCTGGACTTGGCCCAGGAATTCACAATCTCAGGACCTTTGCCATTTCTGCATCTAGGTTCCTATTCTGGGTCATGTATCATCATCTGAAGCTCTGGCTCCATTATCTTTGTGAAATCTTCTTATTAAGGATCACGTACATTACAGAAAAACCTTCTAATACCAGACAGATCTAAAAAAATCCCCAAAATGTTTGCAAAACCTTCTATGTCAGTGCCGTGATGCCTATTTCCAAATCATTGGTTCAATGCAAGGACTGAACAGTAAGCAAAGCACTAATTCCCATCTCTCCTCAGATTTGTCATTCATGTTGGTTCTTCACACCTTTCACATATTGACCATAAACACAAGTTCACTGATGATTTTCTAACTTTAGCTTTATACTGATTCCTAACAGCATCAAAGAAGGGAAAGCTAAACTGAGACATACCACATCCTTGTGAATCTGGGACTGCTTTCGCAGGAGATGAAGTTCTTCGAAACCCACTTCTACATCCTAGCTGCACACTCGGAGACAGATCAAACTCTTCATCCCGGGGAAAATCAATGAAAGAATCTCCTAGGAATTGCTTGGAGTCCAAATGCAGCAGAAAACCACCATCCTTAATCTCTTTTATAAATGCTCCAATGAGATTTTCTCCAACAATTGCATTTTCTAAAGGGGGAAAGAATACAACACAATAGCATGAAAGAGACTCCCAATATGGGAATGGATAACCACACAGAAACTGATGAACTTTAAGTTAAAAACAAAGGCAGATACAGAAACACAAGCATGTTAGCAAGCAGCAGACAAGAATGAATCTGTACAGTGTCTATCAGATTAAAGTCCTAATCTCAGTATATGTAGAGAGTGTTAAAGAAACAGCAAAAAAAAAACCCCAACAAAAATGGCATACTCAAAAACTCATCAGAGAACAAAATTTGATTTCTGAGTTACAAAACTTCAGCAGATGAAAACCAGGATTATCTGACATTCAGATTTAATTTATTCCTGTTTTTTCAATGGGTATCATTTGCTTCTTTTTCAGCATTTTGTTGGTTTGTTTTTGAAGGCCAGCATCTTGTAACAGTATAATAATCACCTTCTATCACACTACTGATATTCAACATATCCACCTATGCAACAGACAATGTATTCACAATTGCTGAAGCTGGTGTTGAAAGCTGGAAAACAGTGAGTACCTTTCCCACTCTCTATATTCTTAGTTGCCCAGACAGCTTCCCTTTCGATGACTTGTGCAAGGACAATTTTCAGCGCTAGATCAAGAGCTAATTCCCCAGTTTTGCTGGACCAGAAGTACTACAAGAACAGTGTTCCCAGCGGATTTTGTTTGCTATCACATTCTGTTTAACCCTGCAGGCTGTATGGCATTAAATGAAATGTTGGTGTGGTTTACTGCTTCCAATTTGCAAGACAAGGGCCTCCTGTAGCTACAGGTGATGGGCTGCCCAGTAACCCAGCAAACAGGAAGTTCTACACACTGTATACTTTGAGTTTTGCGAGTATACCAACGACCTTGGACATTGAATTTTCACAGGGAAGATGTTATATACTTAAAGAGAGCATGAGGAATGTTACAGCTCACACGCTGTACAAAGATTATTATTTTATGACTGATGTGTCCAAGGCAAATAGCTGAGGATACTGCTGCCTTCTCACGTGGCGAGTTTCCTAACTCTGCACTGTAGCCCAGAGGTGGCTTTTCAGTTCTGCACGGAGAGAATTTCACAGCCAGGTACGAGGCTCCAGTGACGCAGCACTGCCCTCCTGCCCGTGCTGAATGGACTGCACACATATGATGCTTTTTCTGAAAGATCATCCTAGACTTTTAATACTGAAAGCACAGGTGCCCTCTCTTCCTGAATGTTGTTCCATAGCCACTTGCTGTCATGTAGAGGTTGTTTCCCCCTTTGCAGAGGAGAGACACGAGGTTTTTACACTTATGGGCTAAAGTGAACTGACCTCTCATTAAAGCTGACAGCTGTGTCCTCATATTCTCAATGCTCTGTTTCCTCCAGCTTTGAGCAACCTATCCTTCTGCTGCACTGACACATACTATAATCAACAAAAGAGCACTTAGTTTTGTTCAGCCCCAGGCCAAAAATGACACTTAGCTTGAGAGGAAGTAATTGGAGATCACCACATAACCAACAACACTTTGCAAATCTTTTGCCAGAAATTGTCTCATAATTGAAAGCAGGAATAAGCAGATTAGCCTTTTATTCAAGCAAATATCCTTCTGAATTGTCTAGTGACTAGCTGTAGCAGAATTAAAAATAACATTGAAATGACAGCTGGAGGGAATTCACATGTAGAAAAGCAGCAAACAGTCAAACCAGTAAGAATCCACTTAGGTCTGTTGAATTTCTTTTAGTCTAAAATGTTCCCCTGTGTTGAAAAGTTCTCAACACTATCGCTAAATGTGACCCTCCTATGACCACACTATGGATCCATGCATACGTAGTATCCTTTACATTCTGAGTATATGAACAAGTGTTTACCTGTAGTATACATGTTCATGCATTGCAAATAGACAGGCACATCCTGTAACATCTCAACAGAGAACGATTCAGTGCCTGCCAGACATGCCAGCCACAGACTCACTGGTAATGTCTTACAGGAGCTGTCTTGGTTCAGCCCTTCCAGCACGGCTGGCCAGCTTGGGGCCACACATCTCTGCTGGTCCAAGATGAGCTTCCCAGGACCGTCAGCACACTCTAAAGCATGGCAGATACAATAGTGCTTCCCTGGTTTTGCTCCTGTTTTGCTGCACAATTTTGGCAATTCAAGCTACTATGCATCTCATACTTTGTTAGATTTACTGGAAGTTCTTACTAAGCATTTCTCCAGAGCCTGGTATACCTTTAGGGACCTGGACTTCTGCGGGGACAATGCGTCTTTTCACATACAGAAATAGCCTGCAAATAGTTGCATGCTGTGTTGTGCAGTGAGAAGAAATCTGATTTAGGGTTTGCTCCTGCTGAACGAAACACTAATTTTAATGTGAGAGGGATCATACCATTACCCAGAGTTTATATTGGCCAATGACAAAGTGAGAGAAAAGAGAAAGAAAAAAAGTAAATTTGTTCTTTTTTTTTTCTTTAAGGAAAATACAGAGCACAAAGACACAGCTTAAAATATCAGTTGTATAGAGCAGGGATTGATTTCCTCCAATCTCACTGGTGGGAACTGTTTACTCTATGTTCATCCACCAAAAGCTCATTTTTATATTCATTATTATTTTTGCCTGTTGAGCAGAAGAGAGAAGTTGCTGCTGTTCCTCACTGTTTTAGAGCTGAGGCCTAAGCTACAAAGCCAAATGGCATAAGATCCTTCAGGAAGGGATTTGCACAGCCTCAGAATTTAATACATGAAAATATATGCAAGAAAAAAAGTAATGAAGCATTCATGAGTGATTTAGGTTTGAGGCTCTTCATTGGGAACATATGCACACTGTGCTTCTGTTTAGCATTTTTTTTCTCAGCTACTTCAAGAGCAAAACTTCTCATTTAGCCGTAAAGAAACTAGGAAAAGAACAAAGCTATTTTAGTAATGCAGATTTTCAAATCAGAGAGCCAATTTTTTCACTCTGTGTAAATACACCAGAAAACACCTCAAACAGAAAGACCCAAAGCTGCCTTAGAAGGTAATGAAAGTTGATGGTGCCAAGAGGATACAGGGAGCAGGTTCCCAGTTGTCTGATCTCTCCAGACTAGACTCATACTGCTTCTTCTGAAACCATACAGTCAGTCCATGAAAAGCAATTTTAGTACTAGGGGGAAATTATAGCGTGGAGAGGGTCAAAAATGTAATGCCGTCAAAGCAGAACACTTTCAAAAGTAAAGTTTAGCATAAAACCAAACACACTTATACTTTGATCCACCTTCTGCAAACTGCTTGAATACTCATGTTTCCCTTATAATCTGGAGCAACTGAATGGATGTAAACACAAACAGACTGTAAAGCCAGGAACCACACAATCACTGCAGCCGCTGTCTGCATCCCGAAGGCTTTTGAACTTGGTTCTGACCAGGCAAAAACTGATGTAGGGCACACATCTCCAAGTCCCAAAGTTAGAGGGAAGGACACGTGCAGGCAGTTATTTATATTTAGTGCTGGGAACACCACTGCAAAGCAGTAAAACTGGAGAAAAGCTGACACAGAGGGCATTTGAACTTGGGATATGACTTTTATGTCTTTTATTTTAAAGGGAAACACTGACTGCTTTGAAAGAAGTTCTTTACACCATCCCTAACTCACTTGGAAACCACAGCAAAGATCTGCCAGTCAGTGGTCTCTGCATAATTGCTCTAGGACTTCTGAGGTAAGGGTCATTCTTTAGTGTCAAAGATAATGTAATAAATAGAAAAAGAAAAGGAGAAAAAAGAAATAAATAAAAAAAACCCAAAACCCTGGAATAAATTAGTTATATTTTTGGCAATGCGTGAATTATGTTTCTCTGAGTCCAACCCAATAAGGAACACAATCTTTTCCACCACTGAGGACCTGCCCACTGGAAATTAACATCTGGGACAGTTCAGCTCATGCTCAATAAAGTAATTTTCAATCTCAGTTAAAGAAGACGGGAGAGCCAGTTCTATCTGAAAGAAACATTCAATTATAGCTCCTTTCCACTGTGCAGTCACAGCCTGAAAAGATAAATATATCAACACCAAAAGCTCAAAACCACAACTCCAGCATTATAAAGACTCTTTCCATGAGCATTTATACTACCTTGTTAGTGCCTCCTAAGAGCAGACACAGGGAAGCAAAACAATTAAAAGCAAAGCAGGCTTAATTCACAGAAATATCAGAGGAAAAAAAACTTACCAATATCATGTAAGTCAGGGAGAGAAGCTGCCGGGATGTTTTCCAGCTGAGTCCTCCACGTGACATTCACCCCCAGGCGGTCCACGCTCAGGCATTCAACATAGACAGTGGAATCATCACAGACAGAAACTGAGCCAGTATTTCCGAATGCATTTACCTGAAATTCAAAATTAAATGAAACCACGGTTAGTCAACCTGAGAACCTTCTAGTTCTTGCCTTTCCCTATTCAATTGCACTGTGCTATGCTTAAAGGCAACATTTTCAAAAGGGCCTGTTAAAACAGAAGTAGAAGTAGGAAAAGATAATTTTAGCAGGTCATTTACTCACCGTAAGAATAATCAAAGGGTTCCCTTCCATCAAAGTATATTTTCAATAAATATTGGACTGATGTGATATGACTTCTATGGCTACAATTAAGCTTATCTGCCGATGTGGGGTCAGTGAGACTAAATATCCTATTTTCCAAGCCATCCATATGAGAGTGCTGCCAATCTTGACAGATTTCATGGCATTTTCTGCTCTTCCACCTCTCTCAAACAGGCAAACTTCTACTTTTGTGTCTCACCTCTTTTTTTTAATACAAAAAAAAACCCAAACCCAAACAAACAACCACCAAACAAAAAACCCCACCAAAAACAGAGAATAAGGAATTGAAATTACCTGGAGGTGACATAAACCACGAGCCTTCAACTCATCTAAAATAAATATCTGGAATGCCTGGAGTAATCCAGAGTAGTCAGAACTACAAGTCTTCTCAGGAGGCAGTAGCAGTTGAAAGTGTGTTTGAGCTTGGACTGTCTGAAGTAATTGGAGCTCTAAAAAATAAGTAGAAAGGGCATTTGCATGAGAGAAAAAGCCAGGTGATATAGTTATATAATAAAGAAACATTTTACATTGGAGCACTAACTCACAAAAGGATAAGGAACAGTCTGGATCATTAATGATGATTTTTTATAAGCCTTGGCAGATAGGAATTTCCAGAGAACTAGATGAAAGCTGACATTATGCCAATACTTAGAAAAGAAACAGGAAGACAGGAATTATTGACCTGTCAACCTCTGCTTCTCTCGGACACAACCATGAAAGAACTTCTATTAAAAAGGAATTAAATGGTTACAGCAATTAATACTAATTCAAATGGGCTTTCAGAAACCTAGCTTGTCAAATTAACTAGGAATCAAGTTTTAGGAGAGAATAAATTTGATTGCATAATAATGGTGTTGATGTGGACATCTACAAGGGCCTTCCAATTTTTTGATAGCAAACCAAAGCGATGCAAATCGCACAAATCGATGAGAAATCCATGACCTCATCAGTCACAAAATGAAATTCTATTTAGCCAGTTTTTAGCCAGAATAAAAAAGGTGCAAATTACTTGTCTCCAATTGTGACAGTGTGCTTCCCCCACCCCTCACCCACCCTGACCTTTATCTCCCATAACCCTGCTCAAGCAATAACCACCAGTGGCGGTCATAATGGATTCGTCTGGTCTTGATGGCTGCACACAGCTCAAAATGGATTTGGGAGACGGATAGCAACACAATAGCCAAGGGCTAATTTGAACAACACGCCCACCTAACCACAGTGCTAGTCAATGTAAACTAAAATCTGTGGTTGATATGCAAATACGACTGAGTCAATCATCTTACCCCCATAAATAGTGAGCAGCCCAAGAGCCCTTTGAGCTCTTCTGCACAGCAGCAGGCTGTGTCCCTTGAGTAGGGACGCCTCTCAAGGTTACTCCTCAAGGTTGAGAGATTCCTTGCCGCAACAGATCCTCAGTAAGTGACTAATAACATGCTAAACTTTGCTAAGCTTTGCTGAGATTATGTCTTAGATTGATTGTGCACATATAATCCCTTAGACATAAACCGTTGACCAAGTCTGGGACTAAGTTTGGATCCAGCCGCACCTAGACTCCTCTAAGGGAAGGAGTTTAGAATGCAGGGGGGTCCTCTTTGAATCTCATGACTCAATGGGAGGGTCTCCCTAACAGTTTTGTCTGACCCTGTCCTCTATGCAGTAAATAATCAAATGTATCTTCCCATCGAATCTTCTTAAACCACTGTCACATTTACTATCAAACTTTGTTAAATCGCTGTTTTATATCAATAAACATATTGCTGTTTCTCCCTTATGAGTGAAGTGCATCACTCCATCCACAACACCACTGGCGTTACGCTGATCCCTGGCTTCATGGAGGGTTTGTTATCTCAGATTCAACACAGTGGTGATGCTGTCATGCCACCTCCAAATGGAGCTGGCTTTTATCCCACCAGCCTGGAGAAGCGGCAGAGCTCTCCCTCATTCACCTCCTCTACAGACGCTCGCTGTATCATGTACAAGTGTCACTGCTAGAGCACAATTCTGTCCCTCGCTCCCAGAACGAGTGAGCGTGGGAAAGCCTGGAGAGCATCCAAGGAGAATGGTGGGAGGGACCAGAGGACACAAAAGCTTGCTTCTTCCTGCAAGGCACAAAGCCCTCTATCTGTTTAGTTTATCAGAGAGTAGTTAAGAGCTGACTTAAACACAATCTCTAAGTGTACACATAAGGAACAGGAAATAAGATGTTTAAGAGTGTGGGTAATTATCCATTGGAACAAATTACTAAGTGTTGTGGTGAATTCTCCATTATCGAGAAGTTTATTCAATCACCTTCAGATGTGTTGGGAATTTTTTCTCTCTCCTTAAAACCATGCTCTATTTTAAACACAAATTACTGTGGGAAGTCCTTAGCTTGCACTAAATGGCAGCTTGTATCAGATTGCCACACACTCCCCTCTGGCCTTACAAAAAGTTATTCAACTGCCATCAGGCAAACATGAAAGTTACTTCATAACATGCTACAAAAACCTAGCAAACATGATTACAGACAGACAAAAGTCTCAGTCTGAAATTTAAAGTTTAAAATCATTTACATTTGGAATAGAAGACCTGAGGTACAACTGGAAACTTGTCAATACAGCAGTTTACAGCAACACAGAGATGAAAAGTAGCTGCAAACTTGGCATCAAGATCTGCATTTCTCAAAGTTCAGCACTGCTACAAATTGCCTTTTTGATCAGAAGGTATCTCTATTTGAAATAATTGAAAAGGTTAACATTAATATCTGATTACATGAGCTCTGACTAGACAACAGATTCTTCCAAGACTTAAAGTGCCATTTTTTTCTTGAAAGAAAAATGGTTTGAAAAATACCACAAGTCAGCCAACAAAGACAACAATATTCCTAAAGAACAGACTGCTGCAAAAAGATGCAGAAGTAACAGTGACTTGATTATGCAAATAAACAGTCAAGTTCTGCCAAATTCAAACATCTGGTGCTCATCTGTTCTTCCAGGACTAAGTGGTTCCATCAGAATCACTTCATGATGCCAGCATCTTTTAACTGGCAAAGAAAAATCTGCATATAGATTGAATAACTATTTATAGCTATATTATTACAGAAAAGTGGGACTGTTTCTGGCATAGGAGCTAGCCAAGAGACAGAGATGAATATGGCAGAAGACAGGACTAATGTACTGCACCTTAATTTAGCAACTCCCATATAACTGTTGTGTCCTATTATTGTCATTCACACAGTAGCTTCGTGATGAAAGCGCATTTTTGTACATCAATTGACATTGCTCTGCACCCTTCCCAACCCACGGCAGTTCAGACATACTCTGGCAGGCCTGATAGAGTGGGGCAGCCAAGACCCATCGACGCTGTTGCACATCACACTGAAACGACGTGCTGGAAGAGGCGCTGTGGAAGCCCTGGTGGCACACCAGCCAACACTGCTGAACGCTTGAAGCTTGCCCAGAAATGTTTTCACAAAATACAGCTCCGTTGAGAACAGATGAGGCACCGAATGGCAGAGTACACTGCGGACCTTTAGGCACATGAGAAAGGCGATATATTAGTGGCATACTATGATAGTAAAAAGTCTGCATAACCCTCGTATCGACAGAGAAAACCCAGACAGCACCCTGTGCATTTCCCACTCATCCCAATTTGGATCTGGTTTGATGTCAGCATGGTTCAGTTTACTAAAGCTGATGAAAAGACACATATTGGCTTTGATGGGTAATGCACTGGGTCCAGAAAGCTACATGCATGGTTTCTAAGAACAGATAAGTTTTAAAAGTCATGAATAAATTTAAGCAGAAAATGAGAAGGAGGTTTCTAACCGTCAGCAGAACAATCCTTTACAAAAGATATCCAGTGGAAATAGGCCGGAGCAAAAAAAAAAGTCAATTCCCTTTAGAGTGAAGTTTGAAAACTTTAAGATCAGGAACTCATGACGATGGTGTCTTCAACAGCACCAGGATATTTCTGGTGACTCAGCAGGTCCTTAACAGTAGTATACAGCTTTGGAGTTGGAGCACAAAGTTTACCCTATCAACTCACTCTGCATCAATACAGTCGTTTCAACCCTGCTAGCCCACTGTAACAGACTTTTATAGCAGGCTAACTACAATGATAATTAATTTCTACTAATCAGTACAAACCAACTGCTTCACTCAATATTAGCCAAATCCCAACCAAATTACTGAATATATCTAGCAATAATCAAACACTTCTGAGTTCTAGAGCTACAAAACATAGGAAGAAAAAACGACTTCCTCAGTTAGAAAAAAATATAAAGAAAAAGATGTTCTCATATCATACAATTGACTTGCTTGGTGTATGTATAGATCATTTTCCAAATACCAATGCTCAGATCAGTCCCAACCTCCCTAGTCAGTGGAGAAAGGTAAACACTGCTGATGGTTTAGGTCTGAGCAACCTCTCTCTCCCCTTCTGATGGAGATATGGAGGTTAATTCCTTAATTTAGCAGCCACTTCAGTTAAAGCTTAAAACATTGCAGGATGAATCTGGGATCCAGTGTGCACAGTACATCTTTGTTTTCCAACCCTGAGCATTTCAATGCCAAAATAAAAGGCTTTCATATCTGTCTCTCTGAACTGCCAAATGCATTTTTTCCCAAGTCCCCTTTATAGCATCTCTTCTGCAATAACTCTGTAAATAGGGCCACTACATTCCTCCTCTTCACTCATTGACTGTATCCAGTCTCTTTTTCAGTAAAGGTGGAAACCTGGCATCCTCGCTTAACAAACTTTTAATAAACCTCCCGAGATTTTAGGACCAAAATATATCACTGTAAAAGAGATAGCAATACTTATCCTGGCTGATGTTAACTGCATCCACCATTACGTGTAAATTATTTTAATATCTCTTAATACAAAGTATATAAAAATCAGTTTATGTCTTTTTATTGCTTTAACACATTTCTATATCCAGCAAGTCAAATCCAGTCTCAGCTATATGCTGCTACAGTCTTTTACTGTCGTTTCCAATGAGAGCTGGTATGTAAACTAGAAAAATAACCAGCCCCCAAAACATAAGTGATGGATGGTTTCCTGGTGTGGTTCACAGGTTTCAGTTCAAAATCAGTAATTTGCTCATTTACCCCTCTACAGATGTCATCTCATTTACTATCGTTATCAAGCCTGCACCATTTTGTCATTCTTCTATTTCTGCCCCAATTTCTTGGTCCTGTAAGAGTGAATCAGAATCCAGTTGAATATTGACATTTCTTTCATAGGCGTTTCTAAAGATTTCTGTAAAGAAATTATTGTCTCCATGACCTTCTCTGGAAGGCTTTCTCTCCTCTATCTCCACTCAGAGCTGCGGAAAGTGGGCATGAGGATGGGAGATGCATGTAAGGACTGCTAGGATACTTGGCATCATCTCTCCAGTGCATGTCAACTAGAAAAAGTTAGATTCTACCTCTGATGGAAGTTATTAAGCTAATGAAAACCTCATTGCATGCACTGGGCACTGTGAAGTTATTACTTGCTGTTTACAGCTGTCTGTTCTGACGTTGGAGGAGAAGTTTATTGTATTTTCCCACCACAACAGCTTCTTTTGCTGATAGACAAGATCTCCAAGATAGTGAGATAGTATTCCCTTCCTTTTTTCCAGAACAATTATTAGTAGTTCCCAGGACTAGAGGCTGGATAGACTGAGGGGAAAAAGAACTTTTGCTTCTCTATTCTTACACAATAACTAAGTTGTTTATCATGACAAAGTTCCATTGCTATTCCAAAATCCAGAAAAAACATTAAAGATTATTTCAGTGGTATTTCTATGCAGAAAATAACAAATAGCTGTCAGTAAAGCCAGGTTTCCACTATATTTTCAAAGCAGTTCTCTCTCTCAGCTCAGTCTTTTAAAAAAGAAAGGTCATTAATCATTCAGTCACTGTTTCCTCTAGGAAAAACACAGCATTACAGGATCCCAAGAAACATCAGATGTGCACACAAAAAGTAAAGTCATCTTAGAAGCATATCTTGGGGTACACCTACACCCTCCTTAGAACATATTCCATAAATTACCTTAGAATTAAGGGGAAATTTAGAAAATGAGCTGTCATGGAGCGAAGGAGTTATCAAGGACTTAACATTTACAACTAGTTCTGACTTTTCTCTGGCCTACTAGAAACGCTTCCACTTTTCCGTGTTCACCTTCAGAGTTTATGGAAAAGTCAATCCATACTGCTGAGTGCCGGGCGTCACACTGAGTTCCTCCAGCTGGTCCAAACAAAATAAATATCACACAGCCCCGTGTTCCACAGAGATACTAGCCCATAACCTGAAAGTAGGATGGCAGCAGCACTGTACTTGTTAGACTGATCAGCTCTGCTTCTCTGAAGAGCTAGAAACCTGTATTGGACTGCTACGCTCACATGGCTACACCACCCTAGCTCTGGAGCTCATCTCTTCAGAGCTCAGCTGGGCATCTCCACACAACACCACACTGCATGGGGCAGATGATACAACCCTGGGGTCCCCTTGTAGCTTCTCATAAAATCCCATCCGCGTAGCTCCCTATTGGTACAAGAGAGTTCAAAGAAAATGATGTCGGTGATGGTTTCCAAGTTGGCCGAGGAGTTACCTAATTGACTAAAATGCTTTACAGCCAGTTGGGCTGACACAATTGGGTATTTGGTTGGCGAGCGTGTGTTGCTCTTTATAGAACAGAATCACAAAAGGAAACCGAAGCAATTTCTTATCATGTGGTCTTGTTTTCCTAAATCTACCAACAGCTCTTATTTAAAAAAAAACAGAAGAACTATGGAAACAGTAGTGTCCTGCAGGCACCAGTTGAAAGTTTTCTTTTTACATCTCTAGTTTCCACTAATCATTACGCTTTGGAGCATAACCTTGTAGAAAGTTTAATTTGTTTTGCTTCACTTCAGTGATGGGGAGATGTATAAAGGCCATCGCAAATTAAATTTATCCAAATGTCTCCCATTTGGACATCTCACTGGAAACCATGAGTGAATTCCAGTGCTTTGCAGCTCTGGTCATGCAGGAAATACTCTGTGAACATGTAGTGTTTTGGCACATCCTTTTCACAACTCTGGTTGCAAAGCAAGAGTAGGAATGGCAGAAGCATACGTTTTTCAATTCTTACTTTAGTCAGTTGAATGGCTTTTAATCCCAGAGCCAGCTCAGACTGGAACAGGTTCAAGTTTGCAGCAAGCTGTTCAGATTGACTTTTTAGCTAAGTTTAATAGCTCAACTGCTTTGATTTAACCAGTTTTATGAATAAAGAAAAGTCAAAGATCCACTCCCTTCTCTTTTTGCCCTGACAAAGCACTTGAAGAAAACTGGACATCGTGCCCAGGTAGGTCAGAAATCTGCTATAACATAAAGATAACCATACCTCTTGAGCAAAAATCTCTGTAAAGATCTGAACAAAGAAGCTTAAATATAACTAAATACTGGAAACAGTTAGGATCTGGGTCAAGTTCCAGACTTGGGCTTGCTCAGAAGCAATGCGCTTCAAGCAGGAACTCACTTGCACATGCAGGTCTTCCTCTGCTTACTCGTGTCCCTGGCACCTCTTCTCCATTGTCAAAGACACACCAGCAGCTCTCTTGATCCTGGCTGCACTGCATGGGTGAAAAAGTCCCGTTGTCCCCTTCACACTGTGGGATGTAGCCTTTGCCAGCTTCTCGTAAACTAGTTTTAGACTTCAGCATATTGCAGAAACTAGGACCTTTAAAGAGAGAAATTCATTGCAAGATACAGAGCAGAAGACAACAAACTGATCATCTGCAGAAATGAACTACGCTAATGCACAGAATTGTCCTAAACAGCAGTGCTTTCGGCCTGTTTTTGTATAAGGAGGAAAGGTGAGTGATCAGGAAACCATAAATAATTTGAATCATTATAGAAATGTGGAATTTTACTTCCACTAGAAAACACACTTTTTTCCTAAAGATTCAAGTGCAGGTTATATGGATTTGCATCAATAAAAAAATAGTGGAAAAAATACTGATATTTATTTTGCACTAACATCTTTTTTTGCCATAAATTTGATAGCTTATCATTTAGATGCTGTTTTTTTTTTAAATCAAATTAATCTTTTTAATAAGAGTTTTTGAGCAAGGTCATTTTAAGTGTAACAATACAATTATTTACATTTTAAAATAGTCAAAATGTCCCACTTTAATACCTTCAAAACTGGAAAAAAACCAACCATGGAACAGCAATATTTATGGTCTCCACAAACAAACAAAACAGGGACATGAGCGTGTGGAACCATCCCCTGACAAGAAGAACCTGTAAGCCCCCTGTGTTTCATGGGCATCATTCTGAAAAGGAAAGTACATATGCCACAAAGTAGGAGGCATTGCCACTAGCGTCACAGGCTGTGGGTAAAGCATTACTCACACTCAGGATTTCCATCCAAATCTTTGCTGCCACGCTGCAATACTTCTCCTGACACAGGATCTACACACCAAATATCTGTGTCGGATCTCTGTAGCACATCGTATTCTCCTGTCTACAAAGAATCAATTACATGTCATTGCAGAGCAATGTATATTAATACAGACACACCACAATCCATACCCCAAAGGTTGGTTAAAATATTTGATTATATTTATATTTGTCCATTAATACAACATGTTGAAAAGAAACACAAAATATTAAAATACAGTCTACCTAATTTAATACACAGACCAGGCCCTGAGAGAAGCAGTATGCAGACTGAAAGCCCATTGAGATGAAGTCCTGGTATAATCTTGGTTTGAAATATCTGTTCCTTGCCCGTCTCAGGGCTCTATCCTGATCACTGCCATGTTTTGAGGGCATCATGGACCCTATTTTGGGGTACCTGCATCCAACTCCCTCTCATCCTGACATTCTCTCACAGCTCAGGAAGAAAGAGCCCCCCAGATGTCAGTCAATTAAGTCGTGCCTTTTAAGCATAGCCCTGCAAAAGGATGAGGCAGAGCCACCCTGTAGGAGGGAAGCGTAGGCAGGGACAGAGCTTCCCATTCCCGGTCTTCATCTCAAAACTATTTAAATTCTGCCTTATGCAGGGCAACACCTGATGTTTGTTGTCTTATCCTTTTCTTTCAGGTTAATAGGACTGTACAAGGGATGCTTAAGGAGCATAGACGGAAACTGTACGGGCCTTTGGCATGGTGTAAGCAAAACCGTGGAGGGGAGGTTTTGTTTCTTCCTCCCTAAGTCATGTTAAATCACCTCAAGGCAGTAGGGGACGAATAGATCAGCTGTAGAGGCATCCAGCTTTGAACCGCTCTGTCTCCAGCTGGAAATTAAGGCATTGGTTCGAGATCGCTGACATGATGTCTGGCCTGTAAGAGGGAAAACATACATGCATGTTAAAATAAAATCAAGTTCTCAAACCTAAGCTAGAGAAAGGGGTACATCCCCAGCTCCTTCACACATCTCCATTAGGCTCTGCTACAGCCTCAGGCAGGGATTTCCTGATAGTTGTTTGATAACCACAGAATCACAGGATGGTTGAGATTGGAAGGGACCTCTGGAGACATCTGGTTGGACATCTGGTCCAATCCCCTGCTCAAGCAAGGCCACCAACAGTAGAGGGTCCATTCACAAATCACGCAAGCCAAAATCAGATATAGTAAAATTAAATGAATTAGCAAAACAAGCATAAAATTCCTTTTTCTTTTCTTGCAATGGTTACAAACAAGCCTTGCTTCATGCATATCATACGAGAATTTTCAATAAAAATTAAAATTTCTAAGAACAAGTAAAGACAAATATTTAGGAAGAAAAAACAACTGACATTTGGGAAGTTCTGCCAAGCGTGAGACCAAGGAATCCATGACATAATGTCCTCTCCCATCCACGCACCAGCAATGACCTGGCCAGGGAAGAAAAGCAGCTTTATTTTAGATGTACTGCAATATGCTTTGTTGCATACTGGTAAGATTTTCATCCTCAGCAGCACTATAGAAAGTGGTCGGTAAATCTAAGTCACAGTTAACTCTGCTATCCAGAGATAAGTAGACCACACCTGAGAGCACTGGTGAGAATGGAATTGTAGCAGCTCTGGTGAGACTCTTCCATTGCAGCCCTATCCTGCAGCATATCATCTACTCCGAGCAATTTGCTATCATCCACAAACTTGCTGAGAGTGCACTCCATCTCATCGTCCTGGTCATTAATGAAGGCATTAAGCAGCACCAGCCCCTGAACTGACCACCAAGGAACACTACTAGCAGCGAGCAACTGAACGTGGACTGATTTTTGAGCCCCAATGAGCTGCCACTTGAGTCCTTCACTCCAGTCAATTTTCCACCCATCTTGTAGACCATATCACCTCTCTCCAGTTCAGCTACAAGAATACAGGTTTTCCATCTTTTTATCAGAATTCTGCTTAGCTTTTCTTTGTTCAGACAGCCCAGAGTATCTTATTAGCAATTGCTCACCTGTGCTCTCATAGCACTGAGTTGGCTCCCAGTTTCCCAGGCCATCACACTGTGGGATGTAAGGGAGAAATCCCAGCTGCGCTGCTTCCCCAGCAGAACGTTTTGAAGTAAAGTGACTCCGCCAGTAGAAATGCAAGACTATGAAAGATAAGTAAAAGAAAGCAATTAGTGGCCAATACAAGATATTTTAAATGTACATGTTTGCAAACACCTGAATGTTCCCTGTACTTTGGAAGGCAAATTAACAAATGCTACAAGTACATAAAGGCTGGTAAGTGTCCAGATCTTATATAGGTATTGTGTCATAAATATAAGACAACCGAAATCAGCTCTTGGGTTGGCAGGTTAATTACACTGGTTAATTACACCTGCTGAGTTGCATCTGTTTTTCAGCAAAGTTGAATTTGACACAGAGTACTCTTGCACAGATCCTGGGCATTGATCCATTTAATTAAGCTCTCATCTCTCTTTCACCTACCTGACCATGCAGCCAGCTGGAGAGCATAGTCACTGCCCGATAACAGCTTTTCAGAGACCACCGCCTCTGTCTCATAGGGCCGAGCAGAACGTAGGAGATCGTTGTCTGTGAGCTGTATTCCCTTTGCCATCAAGAAGCTTTCTCCAAAAGGGAAGTGGGAACTATTTGATGCTAGGATGAGCTGCTCTGCCTCCTCCATAAATTTCATGGCTTCCTGCTTAACACCTTCACATATACCAGGACCTGTAGAACCAGAGGATGTTTTAATGCCTTTCATCTAAATCCAATAAAGATTTGCATGTGAAAACTAGCTGGCCTTTTAATTAGCATCTTCTGTTTTGTCCTGCAGCTGCTTGCTTTTCAATTGCTTAATGAATCAAGCAAATGAGACTCGTCAACGCTTAGCTATATAACCACAAGAGTCCAAGAGTACCAGGAATCACCCAAACATTCTCCAAGTCTTGGGCCAAAGCCTTGATAATTTTAAGTTACCTCCTCCTCATTGGTTAGAAATGGAGTTATATGCCTCTACAGAATTGTCCCTCAGTCACTGTCATTAAAAAGAGGATAATCAGAAAAGAGAGTGAGAAAGGAAATGGAAGGTATATCCCTTGGGTCCAGAGTGGCCGCTGACACTTGACCTGTCCTCTCCGTACATCTACTGACTCAGAAATGGCAGCTCAACACACTGAACAAGCTCAGTGAAAGCTTCTCCACTAAAATAACTCTCTGCTAGTCTGCTTTGTCCCCTTTATTCCCCATTTGCCCACAGGACTGGCATCTCCAGCACTCCGTGCCCATTTGGAAGTTTGTCATTCATTGTCCTGTCTCTTCCTCCCAGCTGGAAAACTACTATGTGATGAGAATGGTTTTAGTGACGACCTTTATAGTATAGGTCATCTGCTGAAGTAATCCCAAAGAGGGCCCAACAGCTTTGGTGGAGATGTCTAGACAGAAGGCTTACCAAACTTCAGTGCTGGCCTCACTCTTCTCCTAGTGACTTCTAGGGGATATCTGTTACTCTTGACTGTAGAGTAAGAAACAGTAAAGAAAATTCCTCTTGCCTCATTTTAAGGCATTCTTGAAAGTCATTTACATTACAGTGTAATCATGAATTTTCCATACAACTCTTCACACACTGTTTCTAACTTCAGTGTCCTTTGCCATCTGGCTAAGTATCTTCCTCAAAAGCATTCTATGTCCAAATAGCACTTGAAAGGACTTTCTTCTTGTGGCATAAAAGCAAAGACAAGAAACGCTGCTACTTATGTGCCAGAAATTCTGTTACTTACATGCTGGGACCTGGTTCACTTCTGCCTTTGTTCCTTGCAGCTCTTTTCCTTTGCTATCAACACACCAACAATCACGAAGTTCAAAGTGGCTTAATGGAGCGCTGAAATCAGTATAGGGTCCTGGGTAATAGGTCAACTGCTCATTCAGAAGCTGCCAGAACGTATATGGATCCAGTAAAATGTTCTCAGATGCATAGGTCACGTTTCCTTCCAGCACTTCAGGTGGGAGATCAGTGAAGGAGGAATACGTGGTGAATGCTGGGAAGATATTCTGGTGCCCAGCCTCATACAAAGCTTTAATAAAAGCTGAAAAGCCTTTGGAAGACGTCTCTTTATATCCAGTTATGATATTCAATAGACTAGCAACAGGCAGGGTTTTGCCTTCATTGTTCTCTGCAATCCACCTTTCGTACCACTCAAAGGCTTGCTCAGAAGGTCCACTGCACTGCACCCGCCTCCAGGCACCGTCAGCATCACACTGCGGGAGGTAAATGCTGGAGAGCTGAGACAGAGCACTTGGATTTGACAACAGGAGTTTCACAGCCTTTAGAAACTCCTGACCAGCTGTTACTTGGCAAGCACTTGGGCCTGGGGAAAAGAAAAACATGCATAGCACATCTTGTGAATGTGCTGAAGATATACAATGCCCCCTACCCCCCTAGTACTATAAACTCTATTACTAAAACTTGGTCACTTATCCCAATACTAACGACAACATTTCTGGCCTGTTATTAAGAGGGCCAATGCTATTAAGCTCCCATGCTGAACTAGGGTAAGATTTCCAAAGGCATGTGAGCACTGAAAGGTGCATATAGATATGATTTTTTAAAATATTTGAGCATATTAGGTGCCTGTAGTTCTTCCTGGGGGGGATAGGTGCTTGATGCCACTAAATGCCTTCCTGAATCTGTTCACACCAACTAGGTATTTTCAGATACACTTGATAATCTGGCAGTTAATTCTTATTCAGCCAATCCCTGCAAAAGCAACCATCTGAATAGTAGGATAATATTGATTTTATTTCCCCTTGGACCTAACCAGAATTTTCAGATTCTGTTGTCTTCTCTTCCTATTCTCTTCTGAATATTGCAGCTGAATATAAAAATATCATCCTTCAAAATGGTGGAGTGAGTTTGTTTTGGAAGTTTTTTCTGCCATCTCCAAAGCCAAATTTCATTTTGCCACCAAGCAGCTCTACAAGCCTAGCAAAAGGTAGGAGCTCATCTCCTTTTGAGCAGCAGAGAATTATGAACCTGTTTATTTTTGATTGCACTACAGATGGGTTGCTAGATATAAATCCCCTACCAATTCATATCATTGCGATAAATTCCCCACTACTTCTGCAAACTGTTATTCAAAGGAGGTCCTTCACTATGTACCACTATCATCTGCTGGATACTCTGCTATTCCTTCCAAAATGAGAAGCAGGCTCTTCTCTTGGTCTGTTCTCCCTGTTCATGTGCCATTTTCAGTTCACAGAAACTTGAAAGACAAATATCCCTAGCCTATGTGCCTCCCTCTTCCTTTGCATTACATTACTAGAAGGGCAGAAGAGGCAGTTCATAGTCTATAAGCAAGTTGCAATGCCAAATTGATGTCTGACAAGTCATTTGCAACACACTTTTCTGGCCTGACTGCATGACCTCTATGAGAAACCTATTAGCCTTTGAATTCCTCTCCTACGTTTGGACTCCTGTGACATGCTACCAAGTTCAGGATATATTCTTGAGCTAAAAGACTAAAAGAGGTTCATGGTTTAAGGCACTGAAGCTCTTCAGTTCTCAGGACAAGGATGAGCCAGTGACTGTGCCCAGGTGACTTGGTCCTGGAAGTAAAAAGGCTTTTTCACTTGGCATGGGTCATGTTCAGTTACACAGATGCTCCAGGTCTCATGGGCATCACGGATGTTATATACACTAGCTACACACTTAAGTAGAGACAGATGCCAATGACATGCTTGTTAACAAGGCAAGACCTCAGGCTCCTCTGTTTTGAGTGTGACTACCCTAACCCACTGAAAGAAGCGGGAACCCTCTTTAAGACTTAAGATATCAAGGTTTAGGTACACTGTATTTCCCCCTATTTCCCTGCAACTGTAGGGCTGACTCGCTTTCCTGTTAGGGGACAATATTGTTTGTATACAACATCCATACATTTCCAGATATAATCAGATATGAAGAAAGAATCATGAAATCCCAACACAATAAGGAAGCATCTTTAAATTCCCAGTCCCTAGGACTTACATTGCATCGGCTTTCCAGCTTTTCCCCTTATTCCTGGAATAGTCTTGCCATTCAAATCAACACAGAAGCAATTTGTCCCATGACACTGGAGTGGCAGAAAGTCTCCATCCTCAGTACAAGAGGGAATAAAAAGATCTGATCCCGCAGGCAGGCTTTGCTTCAAGTTTTGCAGGTTTCTCCTTTGCTTCTCACAATCAGTGGGACACCTCGGATGTTTGCCTTGAACTCTGGAGCCTGGAACTTCCTTACCTGAAGTGTCCAAACACCAGCACTCTCCTGCATAGCACTGAACTTCCTCATACCTCCCCTCCTTGGTGCATGTTGGAACAAAGAGGTCTCTCTGCTCCTCACCACAGTCTTCGGATCCCAATGCTAGTTTCACCACTTCACCTAAATCTCCAGCAATGCTTTTGGGGACAGAAATCACTTGTTGAAGAAAAGTAAAGAACTCTGGTAGTTCCAGAACAGAGGAAAGTAATTTCATCATATTCTGATTGTCCTGTAGAGTCACTGTGCGGCCAAAACTGCCTACCAGATGTTTATTCAAAATTGAGCTCCCCTTTGATACCTCCAATGAAAATGCCTCAGCTGATTCCGGAAGGCCTTGGCCGTTACCCCTCTCTGCCACATCCTCCTGTGGGAAAAATTGGCCAATGCTGTATTTTCCACTAGTGCCAAGTGCCCCTGTGAAGTTAAACTGGATCAAATTCTTCAAGAACCTTCCTCCAAAGAGGTTTTCTTGGAAACGCTTTGGATTGGCAGTAAATTGCAGTGCCACTTGAGCCAGTTCCCTTGATGGGAACATCCCCGTGATGGCTTCACTAAGGGTGGTTTCTAGCCCAGGAATCTGGCTGACATATGGGCTTTGTGCAACTGGGGACAACAATCCAGAGTCCAGAAACAGCTCCTTGAAGGAGGGAGGGCAGGGTCTTGAGAAGCCAGCTATTTTTTCCGACTGCATATCTGGCATGGAAAACAAATTGGACTGACTGAAGTACCCAGCAGGGCCATAAAAGATCCTCGACAAGGCCCGTCGTCTCTCAGCGATGCACACTTGTTCTTCACCTAGACAAAATTTAAAAAAAAATGCAAATTTTGGAACTTCCAAAACCTGTAACTCTATGGCTATCTTTCAAGCAGTCTCAGCAGAAGCCACATAAAAGTATAGTTTAACCTGTCTCTAGTTCCTCAACTACGCATCACGCACATTGATAAGGAAATTTGAACTGTTGTTGAATGTGGTCTATAAAAAGAATTCTCCAGTCAAGACACAAAGTGAAAGGAAACATTCCTTCACCACGTCTGAGTTGTCTGCTCTGTAGTCTTTTTCTGGTTCTATTGTGTCCCAATGTAAATCCTCATTCCTGTTCCTGTGGCTGAAAGAATGAATAAAAGTCTTTTCCAAATATGTTAACTCTCTGGTAGGATGCCTGCTTCTAATGAAAACCTCCAACAATCCAGGCACAATATGTGAACCTAAGAAAAAGAAATAGACTGCAGAAAAACAGAAAGTTATTTTAACCAATGCCCACTAATGAGGAATTTATGGAGGCTTCCTACCTAGGTCTTCAGTTTCATAGTGAAGCGTGCATTACAAGAGGTTTGAAAACAAATTGTTAAAATTAGCAGTAATAGAGTGTTAAGGACCAAATGGCATTCACAAATGAGCTCTAAAGGAAAAAAATACAAAATTTCAACAAAAATAGTCAAATGTCAGGGTACTGAGGGTACCAACAGTGGCCCTGGCCACCCACATCCTGGGCCAAGCTATGTCATAGGTGTGTAAGCATCCAGCCCCGTCTGTACATTCACACACAGACAGCAATGCTTCCAAGTTAGGATGCAACAAATCACTGAAGAAAGACCTCTGAAAATGTCAGCTTAAGGCTCAAAAGACATCAAAAAAGGAAAGACTTAGTAGATACAAAAACACTGAGAACCAGACAGGATGGTTATGGCACTGACTGGATCTCTGGAATGCACGCAGCAGCTTCAATCATGTGCTACACAGTTACCTTTCCTTGAAAAGTAGCAGAATTACAGGGAAGGGGTGCAAAAGCAGCAGAATTACAGAGAAGGGATGCAAAAATATTTTGAGGACAGAACAGCTTTTCCAGTAGGAGAGACTATTCAGCTTGGACAGAAAAATATGATAAAGGTTTTTAAAAACCAAGATTTTCCACATCATTCGTAATAGACAATTATTATTCAGTATTTCTCACAGTACAGGAATTGGAATGGTCCAGAAGTAGAGCACATAATTATGATCATAAAATTTATTGCCAGAGGATGCTAGGAAGGATAAAAGGTTAAAGAGCAATTAGGCAAGTCCCTGGAAGATGACTCCATAAAGGAGTGCTGAACACAATGATCTGGGTTCAGCCTCCAATGTGGGGACTCCCTAGCCTGCAGGCAACAGGGAGGATATATGGAAGCTATATGCATTTCCCATGTTTCTCACACTTTCTCCCTAAGCACCACTGCTGTCCCTGTAGGGGACAGGATGGTGGATAAACAGCTTTGGTCTGCTCCAGCGTGGCCTCCCTTGGGCTCCCTGCCCCATCCCCATTTATTCCACATTCAGGCAATATGATAAAGCAGTCATAAATCCTGTTAACAGTAAGGATAAAAGCTGGGAATCTTAAAAGCTGCTAAAATAGATTAGCAAGTAATCTGAGGCTCTGTGATCAGCATCTTTCTCACTCCTCCTTTCGCACCCTTGTCCTGCTCCACAGGTCCTGGCAGGGGCTCGGGGTCCCTCACAGTGGTTCCTTTGTAAAGGCATTTTCTGTAGGATGGGCCCCTTCTGTTTTCAGGGTTGGTTCTTGGTAAGAGGGATCAAGAACATTCCTCTGGGGACCAATAAATTACTGTAAGCCACAATCCCGCAAGTATGCTAATATGAAACAAATGTAGGATCACGGTCTTTAAAGGCTCTCCCCTCCTACCCACTGTTGAATCAAATCAAAGCAGAGTGAGAAGGAATAAACAGAAAAGCACTGCTGGGGTAAATTTACTGTAAAGGTCTGAAAAGGAGCATGTCCCTAGCAGGACTGCCTGGTGCCCCAGGTCATGCGAGTACCCCATGTCCTCCAGCGTTCACGCTGCTGAGTGTGAAAGTCGAAGATATTAAAGAGAAATAAAACAGAGCAGAACTGGAGACACACACATGGCATGTAGCTGTCTGAACACAGACTGCAGCTATATCCTCATGAAACACCTTCTTGGGAGTTAGTCTGCAAAAACCTCTGCAGAAATTTTTCCCTGCTTAAATTTCCTAAGTCCGCCAATAAAAGCTGCAAGCAGCCTCAAGTCATTGTCCCCACCCCAAAAAAAAAAAGAAAATCATCAGGAGGGCTCAGCAAAACACATTCAAAGAGAAAGCAACCAGTCCCAACATATGGCGAGGCCTCTCAGAGGTTCCCTTGCAATATCCTTGGTGATCAGCCTCGGAGGCATGCTAACATTTTCATTTCACAGTAAGCCTCTCTGTGCCCAGAGCAGTCTGAGCGGCTTGGAACCGTGACGCCCAGGGTAGGTTCCTCCTTCTCTATCTGCATGGTAAGACTGTGTCTCGCAGACAGAGCAATTACCTTCCCCGAAGGCGGCCCTGCGTTCAGACCTTGTGCTCCCCCAGCCCTCCAGCGCAATCCTGAATATTTAGGTAATGTGCTTTGGAGTGAAGGTTTTTAAGTTTCTTCCTCCCCTCCGGCCCTTTGACATTTCTGCTGTCATTTCCATTTGGGGCACTGATTTGATGGTGTATTCTGTCCTGGTTTCGGCCGGGATAGAGTTAATTTTCTTCCTAGTAGCTGGTACAATGCTGTGTTTTGGATTTAGCATGAGAATAATGTTGATAACACACCGATGTTTTAGTTGTTGCTGAGCAGTGCTTACACTAGTCAAGGACTTTTCAGCTTCCCATGCTCTACCGACTGAGAAGGCTGGAGGTGCACAAGAAGCTGGGAGGGGGCACAGCCAGGACAGCTGACCCAAACTGGTCAAAGGGACATTCCATACCATGTGACGTCATGCTCAGTACATCAACTG